CTATAATTTAATAAGATGTTATGTTATTGATAGATTTAGTTATATAATTATGTCAATTAAATAAAAAAGTGTTTGAAACAATTTTCAATATTAAAATTACAACTGCTTATAAAATAAACAATTTAATCTACAAAAGGAAGTAAATTTTCACAATAAATTATTAACAATTTGATACTTTCCTCAATATCTTTTAAGAAGTCTTAAAAATATTGATTGGTATAATTTTTAAATTTTTTTTCCTCTAACTAGCAGAATAAAAATCTCTAAATAACTTTAAATGTAAATTATCAATTTCTAATACCGACTTTTCTAAAGTTAAATTTTTAGCAAAAATATCAATTAAATAATAATCGACATTATCCACTAATTTTTTTGAAAACTTCCTAGTTTTTTTTCACATTATAAAGTATTTACCTTTCCACAATACGATATACATCATAATCAATCATAATATTAGAAAAATATATCACAGTGAGTTCATAAATAATATGAAAATAAGACATTGTTCCATATAAAATAAATTCATATTCATATAAACCAGTTATATCAAAATTTTCCCTCTATTAATTTTAATTTTTCATTTTCATCTTCACTTAATTCATTTCTTGTTGATTTTTTCTTCTCATAAGTATATTTTTTTTCAATACAAAATTCACAAATTCTTTTTTTTCACTTTGTGTTCTTTTTCACATAATTAAATGATTCAAATTTTTATTTATAAATTCTTTCAAAAATCTTTGTAAACTGAATAAATTCATATTCTTTTCATCTGAAGATGTTTTGATATCAATCTTTTTAACTTCTGATTTTAAACATTTTGCTAAGTCATGATAATCATTTAACTGACTGAATTCAGTTGTATTCATAGAGTTTATTAAAATAATTAAATTCATGGGTATTAAAAAATTTCTTTTAAAAATAAATAAACTTTTAAAATTAAATTTAATAAAATAATTATCGAATGTTATGTAGTGTAAACACACACAATGAATATTTTTATGAAATTATTTATTGACAGGTGATTTATTGATAGTGATTTATTTTTTGATAAAAATAATTCATTAAATAAATTAAAGTAACTTATATTTATTTAGATTAAAAGCTTTCTAAAAGTATATCAATATAAAGATTTAATTTAATTTATTTACATTTAATACAAAATCTATAAAAATTAAAATTATTAAAAGATGTATTCAGAACTTAATTTGATGTTTTTAGTGTTGTCTATCATCTTCTAAAAATAAAGTTTAAATTAAAAAAAATATCATTAATAAAATGACAGCTCAAATTTTAAATTTAAAAAACACACAATGTTTTGATATACATCTTATTAGTAATAATTTTCTTTTCTTGAAAGCTTTCTAATTTATAAAAAACTTCTTTTTTAGTAAAACCTTCCAAACATCTTAGTTCTATCTTAAGAGTACTAAGGATGAATTTTAATAAGAAATAAAAAACCTAACATCTATCATTACATCAATTCTTTTCTCCGGTTAACATTCTTAATATTTTTTAAGTGTTTCTTATCGGATTAAAATTTTTTACTTCATTATTGTTCTATAGTTTTTGAATTCAATACCTTTTTCAATCAAATATAAATTTCTTGTTTTAAAGTTATATTGGTGTACAATAAATGGCCTAATATAACAATTTTATAAGCGTTGCTCCGCCTTTAACAAATTAAATCTAATTAAAAGAATTAAACCAAATCAGTGTTTTATTATTTAAATTATCATAAAAACACATAACTAATTTTAATATAGAGGCTTATTAAAAGATTATATTTTTATTTCACCTTATTATTTCTATATAAAATAACAAATTCTTCACTAGTAAATTGTTTACGATTAAAAATTAAAATTAGATGTCTATACCTTTTTAATATTAATAAACTAACTAAAAACAATCAGATTTGTGAAAATACTTTAATTTGCTTTTAGATTTTAGGAAAGTTATTTAAGTTTAAATAAAATTTTTATTCATCAAAAACATTATGGTATTTTAAAAGAGTAATAAAGTGTTGATTAGGAAAGAAAATAGAAAACTCTTTTAGTGAATACAACTCACTTAATAAACTAATCTCTTTTTAGGATACTTAAGAAAATATGTTTAATTAAATCACCGGGAACAAGGTTATATTTTTATTGATAAGATAGTTCAAAATTAAAAAGTGTATAATACAAATAATTTTTACACTCATGCCAGGCACAACAATTTTATATTTTTATAATTTTAAAATCTAGTTTTAGAATTAACAACTCATTTTTTATAATTAACAAACAGTAGGTGTATTATTTAGTTTTTATTAAAAGTTTTTTCAATAAAAAATGTTTGATAGTTTTTATAATGACAAAAAATACTTGATTTGATATAGAATGTTTGTTTTGTAGAGGATAATAGTTTAATTTAAAAATAAAGATTTTTTCTTAATTATTAAAATCTTTTTGATTTAAAATGGTAGAAAATAAAAATGAAATCAACTTAAAGTTTTATTTTAAAAAAACTCATTTATTTTTTCCGCTTTAAAAATTTTTACAGCATATATTGTTTTAAAGCATAATTTTATATAAAATATTTTTTCATTAAATGTTTTATCATAAATGAAAGACAATTTAAAATGAAAATTTTAATAAAATACTTATCAAAACAAAACTTTAAGTTACTCTCATTTTTATTTTTCACTAATGTATTTACCGTGATCAACATACCTATTATTGAAGCACATAAATACCTATATATTTTATTTCTAGAGTATTGTCTTGTTTCTATATTTTGTTGACAAGATTCACACTTCTCGTACCTTTTCAATATCTCTTGGTGTATAAAAACTCTTTTAAGTTTTCAATTAGGCATTTTAATAGTGATTATAACACTTTGTTATACCAAAAAATTATAAGTATTAATTTTATTTTAAAATAAGAATTTTATTTTTCTATAGTTTTTGCTTGTTTTTAAAGGTTTTTTTGTTGAGTATGTTTTACATCACTTCTTTTTTAACCAATCTTAACTATACCAGGTTTTATCTGATTTACTACCTTGATTTACGGCTTTTTTTTAAACATATCTTTCTTTATCTTTATAATTTATTATAATTAGAGGTTTATTAAAAATTTCTTTAAACACTTTTAATTTTTCATAAATTTAATAACATTTACAGAAACTTCTGTTAATACTTTTCTTAACCATAAGAAAACTTGTTCTATTAAACTATTTGTATTCTTACTTACGTTATTAGAATTTAATATTTTATTATTGTCTTTCATCTTCTATAAATTTAGATTAAACATTTTTGATAAAGTGATAACTAACAATTTTTTAATTTAAGAAAAAAATCAATAAATAATCAAAATAAATAAATTTGTGTATAAAAAAAGTTTTTATTTAATAATCAAAGATACAATTATTTTATCTATTTTGATCAAATTTAATAGTTTATTAACTAAAATCATTTCTTTTTGATTTTTTTAACAAGTCATTCAAACATTTCTCAATATTACTGATTTATGTATCTATCAGTTTATAGTTACATATTTATAGTTAGTAATTCATTTTTTACTTTGAAAAACATCAGTTTGTTTCTTTTAAAAAAATTCAAATACTTATAAAGAGATATTATTTTTAAAAATTAAATGTAGCATTCTTTAGAATATGTCATGGTTTACTCATGTGACAAAGTGTATTTAAAAATTTTTATTTGATGGCTTTGACAGCTGAAATATTTCAAGAAGAAATTTTATTTAACAAATGAAAATTAAGTACAAAAGGTATTAAGAGTATTTAAAAGAAAGATATGTGGTAAATATAGAGAGAAGCCCTTACATAATCAGTAAATTTAATATTTTTCGATCAAATAAAAGGTTTTATAAATTTTGTTCTAATCATTATTTAAGTATCAGCATTAAATATAAAAAACTATTTATTGATATAAATACTCAATAAAAAATACTCTAAACTTCAAAACCATTAAAAATAGTTTTGATTTAAATATTTTATAGATTATTCTAGTTTATTTATAAATATAAAATTTATCATTAAAAACATGTTTTTAAAAAATCAATGA